TTGAACTAATGTTTCAAAATTTTGATGAAAACAGGCGTACATGCCCTAATTTTCCCTTTTCTGGTTTCGCTCCCAGACAAAAGTTCTCACAAAGCCCAACATTATAGCCCAATTTGGCTTTTGGAAAGCCCAAATCTCTAAGCCCACCTTTCAGCGACTTTGACTAACTTGGTGTGGAACCAAACGTTATCGTTTTATGATCTATTTTGTACTGCAAAAATATTTCAGACTCTCTCTCACTAGGGTTTTACTCCACTCTGCCGAGACTTTCAGTGTAAGAACCTCAAATTCTTCTCTCTATAATAATTATGTACGTGCATTTAATTATTATATGCAAATTATCACGTATTTTCTCAGATCTGAGTTAGTGTTTCTGATTTTGGTTTGAATTTTAACTCTGTATTTTGTCAAGTTCAAAAGAGGTATTATGTATCTTTAATGAAGAAGTAAATAAGTAAATTTTAATATCAATCAAAATAAAAAATAAGTTACTTTTTTTAGTGAAGAAATTAATTTATCAAAATGGAAACAAAAAATTACCTTTAGTTATTTTTAAGCTTAGCTAATGGAATTGTCGATTTTTAGTGTTCAATGTATTTTGAATATTCTTATTATATTGTTAGAGCTTTTCTCTCTTTTTTTTTTTTTAATTTGATGTACTTCTGCTTCATGATTTTTTGTTGTGACAATTAGTTTTCTTTTCTTTTACTTTATCGTTGGAAATCTGTGCACAGAATGGTTATGAGAAAGGGGGTAGGACTGATATATTGACACAAAGCGAATATTTGGAACTGCCCTTTAAGTTATTTGAGATTTTGAGTTACAATTGATTCTGAATTTGATGTTTTCGCTGGGGAGGGAGAGAACAAAGAGAATTCTTAAGAATCAGAAAGGGGGAGAAAAAGGAAAGAATAGCTTATTAGATTTTATTGCAGAATCTATATCAATAGTTGCAAGCAAGTGGAGACATCTATCTTTTTACCTGTCATTTCCCTGTGGAAAAAGATGGTATTGTTTCTTTATGGATTTTTTATTTGGAAATGTGTTTTCAAAGATTTCTGGCAACATTTAGATCCTGAGTCATAATAACTCTGATTCAATTTTACCATGCAAAAATCCAATGGTTTTCTTCTGTTTTCCAGTTCGATAGCTTATTCTATGTGTTTTCACATTTTTGAGAAGATTGTGAATATTAGAGGTACATGTAGATGAAGAATGTCTACTTTGAAAAATCCTTAATTTGAGACTGAAGACTATAAATTTGCAGGGAGCTTTCAGGAACACAATGCCCATCTTTTGCGGTAACCTGGACTTTGATGCTCGCCAGTCCGAGGTCGAGCGTCTTTTCAGAAGATATGGCCAGGTTGAGAGGGTGGATATGAAATCTGGTAAATTCAAAGTTTTATTTTCCTTAAACTAGCCCTTTTGTTTTTAAACAGTGGAAAGATGAGCTTTTATTTAAACCCATGAGTAACTTAGTTCCCATGAGGCTTTCATTAAGCATCTCAAAGCTTACACTTTGAGTCTTGTTGTCAAGGCTTAAGCCTTGAGATAACTGAGGCGTGCACTTGTTAGTCTAGCTCTTTCGGGGATTTTCATTTTTGGCCTTAGCTTTTGTGGATTAGTGCTTTCATGCCTTAGAGTGCTTGGAGTGGATTTAGGATTTCTCTTAACACCACCCCACTGTATGAACTAGAAACCACAACTAAAGTGCAAGAAACCCCTCTTCTAAGTGCATTTGCAACTTTTCAAGGGTAAACAGCCGGTTACTAGGGCCCTAGCAAATGTAACTCCATCGTTTTCTTCTTTTATATTTATTGTTTTTGTATTTGTTTTTCTCTTGTTTATTTCTTTTTAAACATTAAAGCAAGCACATCTCTTAAGCGCTTTGTTAATTTATGGTTGTGGATTAAGTGTTCCTGTTATGTAATCGCTATTTTGTTAATTTATTATTTGGACACTTTGTTGAACCATTTTTAAATCTAAGTTGCAAATTAGACCTCTAATATTTTGGAAACATTTTACCATGAAATATGAACTTTGGTATAGTTTTTGGTTTGTTACTAATATAATTTTCTACTTCTGTAAAATACAGAATTATTTATTGATTTATTTAAGGATCAGGCATCAAAGTTAGGCATGGCAAAACACACGATCAGTGCGAACCTTGCGGGCCCAACTGAGTTGGCGGGTCGGGTTCGGGCCAAGGTTTCTTGCCCCACGGTTTAGTCAAAATAAAAAATTAATTGACCCACCCTACCCTAGTAACTCCACCCAGTTCCAACTGTTTATTGTCTCTCTCTCTCTCTCTCTCTCCAAAAAAAAAATAAAGAAAAAGAAAAGAAAGAAAGAAAACAACTTAATCGTGGCAAATGGGTGCCCTGCCCTGTCTTAAGCAGGATGTGAGGCGTGACATGGAAGGGCTGTCCCATTGTCATCACTAACCGAAGTGTTTCTTATCATGGAGGAAAAAACCCTTGAACTTGAATTAGCCTTTTTTTCTAACCAGCATAGTAGCATTTTGTTGTGATTGTGTAACTATCCCCCCTTGGGACTATCCAAAAATAAAAGCAAAATTGGAAAGCAGCCTACTGGACTGGTGCAACCATTAGAAATAGAAGAGCTAAACTATGGTTCGCAATAACCTTTTAAATGCATATTTAAAATTTTAATTTCTTGGTCCAAAGAACCATCTTTTTTAGCTGTAGTACTGAATTCCTTTAGTAAGTACTAAGTACTGTGATACTTGTCACTGCTAAGGTGGTTGATGGCCTAGGCATTTTCCTGCGGCACTTCCTGTGATGAACAAATGAAGCATAAAGTAACTAGCAATGAAACATATGAATGTTTTATTAGTATAGTTATGTTTAAGCTCATCCTATCAAATCATCAGATGTAGATTCAACTGAGTATTCACAGTGATTAGGTGAGTTCATTTGGAACGGTTCTCTTATAGACGCTTTACTTTTGAATTACATATTTGCACGAGACATAATAATGATCCTACAGGTTGAGCAACATTGGGGGTTGGTTAATTTTTTTTTATTTTTTTGGTAAAAGGAAAAATAGCATATAGAGCATTGAAAATTTAATAAATTCCAAGATCAGCTTGTGGACCCCTTCTGGTACCAGTTAATTACACACAGACGAGGGCCTATTGTTGACAATTATTGAATTAAAAAACTAAAGATTTGTTTTGAGCTTTATTGGTCTAACTCCCATATTCATTACAATTCAGTATAATGGGCTTATTTTGTCAAAATCAGCTTTGGTGCTTAGTGCTGAAAGATACGCATTTATGCAAGTACTTAAATGTGATAGGAGAAGATGAGTTGCATTACTATTAGCTTTCGATTATGCTAGTCGATAGATATAAATTTTGGAATTGTTTGTTTTCCGATAACATCGAACACCTTTGAAGAAAGCCCTCAACTGATGGGAAGGGGCTAATATATTTTCTTTCTTCAAATTCTTAAAATGTTTTATACATGTTGTGTTCCTGTGAGAAGCGAGTTTTTTTCTTGTAGTGAAACCCAAGGCTCAATAGCTTCTTTGGCGCAGGATCACTTGGAAATTCCATGATCTTCCTGGATGGATGGTTCTCTGCATTTACTTAGTGACTTGTACCCAAGATTCATGTTCTTTTGTTTGTTCAAAAGAACCAATATGCTCTGCAATGGTCCTACCATCCTACACTTTCCCAAGACCATTGTCTTTGCATTCCTCCTGTCTTTGCTCAGTATTCAATTTCCGACTTGTTCCAACATATATATAAAGTTCATCTCGGATCCAATGGCAGGTGTTGTGTTTCCTCCATACAGATTTTTAGTAAACCCCACCCGTTGATTAGCAGGGTTTTCGGGTGGTAACCATTTTTTAGTCTGGTAAATTAGTGTCTATGCTGGAGGAATGTTGACTCAATTTTTATATTTTCTCTGCAACGTAAATGATCTGGCTTGGTTTCTTTTTAACATTTTTTGGTTTTATAGGCTTTGCTTTTGTCTATATGGAAGATGAGCGAGATGAGGAGGATGCAATCCGGAGACTTGATAGGATAGAGTTTGGTAGAAAAGGACGCCGACTTCGTGTTGAACGTACGAAGGTACACATAATGCCTTGATTTGATGCAGTTTGAGTGCAATACAACAGATTACCAACTACAACTTCAATTGCATTGACATTTACTCAGATGTTGATCTTTCTGAATTTTAGCTCAAAAACTAAGCTATCATTTTGATTAGCAGCAAGAACGTGGTGGTAGAAAGCCTGATAGGTCTAGAAGATCTTCAGCTAACACAAGGGCAACAAAAACGTTGTTCATAATCAACTTTGATCCTATCAATACCAGGACCAGAGATCTAGAAAGGCATTTTGAATCATATGGAAAGATATCGAATGTTAGGATCCGAAGGAATTTTGCATTTGTGCAATTTGAGTTGCAGGAGGATGCTACACGAGCATTAGAAGCGACTGACAACAGGTTTGTCATTTTAAGAGATTGCATGTTATTTTATAATGAAATGACTGGTTGACAACATACACAAACTTGTAATAGCTTTATGTATATGCCCATAATGCCAAATATGTTTTATTTATAGAAAGATAATGTAGTCATTAGAGGCAAGTGAACTACCCTGAATTTCTTACAAGAAACTTCAAGAAAGGGACTGTTAAATGAATATGCAGACTTTTATGCTGAGAGCATTGGTTTAATAAAGATTTTCTCGAGTCAAGCACTACATTTTGTATTTATTTTTTAATAAATTTCAAAACGGCAATCATCTCTTGTTATCCAGCTTTCTTATCAGGGTTCCCATTCCTTTTTCAATTCCTGGCTTGGCAGCCTATGGTATTCATATTCCAGAGGTTTCCCAAAATGTACTCTTGTTCATAAATCTTCTCACCTTAGTTTAATCATTTGCTTCCACATATAAGTTTACGGTAATATGAGATCCTAAATAACTCTACTTTGGTTCTTCTATCTCTCGCCTGCAGTGAGTTTATGGATCGAGTTATTTCAGTGGAGTATTCAATTCGTGATGATGATGACAGAAGAAATGGGCACAGTCCTGACAGAAGAGGTCGTGATGTCTCCCCCAATAGAAGAGGCTACGGTGCAGGACGTTCCCCAAGTCCTTATCGTAAGGATAGAAGTAGTCCTGATTATGGACATGGATCAGTCCTAGATTCTAGATCCAAGCTAAGTCCAAGTCCTGATTATCGAAGATCAGGAAGCCCTGTGAACGAAAGATACAAGAGGTTAACATTTTTCCCATCCTCCTGTTCTTTTACCTCTTCTTTATTTATTTACTCATGCATTATGGTTTCTGTGGCTGAATATTAACACTGTATGCATCATTTACCATGCAGCCGTTCACCATCCCCTCGTGAAAGATTTCGTTCCTGAGAAGGATGTAAGAAGAGGTCCTTGCATTTTCTACCATCTTTTTTTGTCTACAATTGATTTTCTTTCTTCCGTTGCTATCTGTAATGCTTTATTTGAACAAGGTTAATCGACTAGTCATTGGCATGCTTCTGGTAGAATGAAGAATTGTCCTTTTTTTTTAATGTTATAAAGCAGAAAAACTTAAGATTTGACGTACTGGTATGCCTCTTCTATTTTGTGTACTATACATTTCGATCTACATTTTGTCATGTGGAGATTAAAATGTTCAATTAAATATTTAAATGTCATTCATGACAATCCGTTATGGTTTTTCTTCTCATATTTGGTCATTGATTGGGTACAGTGAGGACCTTGTTTGTGAATTGAGTGATGCTACAAGTATATAATGGTTTACATAATTGCAAGTGGCATTGATCAGCACTTTTAATTCAAATTTGACACTT